GGAGGAGTAGTCCATCTCAAAACCAATTTAGGTCTATTTTCCCTATATAAACAATGTGAGACAACTCACAACTGAATACTCTAATATGCCCCTTCACTTGTGAATTCTTCATAAGAAGCCAAAACACATATACGGAGTCGGGTGCGCAAGCCCAAATGAGATGGGAAACGGGTACGTCATCGCACGGTCCCAATAGAACTGACTCTGCTACCATGTAAGAAACGTAGGAAAAACGAGTGTGGTCCCACGCAAATGAAACGCACCGTAAGCATAAAAAGCTCAGATGAAGTCCAAATGAGGTTCCATCCCAAAACCAATTGGTGGAAGAAGGAGTAACCCACTAGACTTATAAGTTAGGTCTATTTTCCCTATATTGGAAAAATATACAATGTGTGACAACTCACAAGTGAATATTCTAATACTTGAAGAGCATTTCCAAATAGAATTTATCCTGCAGTAGTAAAATCCACTTCCTTCAACAATTTATCACACAAACTCTCGACTCTTGAACTACATAAATTCCCTTATGTTAAGCACACTTGATAGCTAGTTTCAAATAACCTCAGTCGAGGCATATTGGATTAAACAAACATATGTTCCCCAACAATCTCGAACATTAACTAGGATTGATTATTAAGAGGGCTTTTCGTACGTGTTCTGCTCTCTGAAGGTTGCAATAGCACTTCTGATTTGACCAGCCATATCAGAGCGAACGAAAATACGAGTATTATCCAGCACGTGTATTATAAACTTCTGTGACTGAGGCAATGCACCATTCATGTTGATAATGAGTTGAGCCATGGGGATGTCACTGTACAGAAAAAGCAAAACTTTTTTCTATTTTATACAAAAACGCGATTTTCTTAAGAGCACACACTAGAGCAAATGGTGTGTTTTGACCATTTCTTTTGAAGATCTTAAAAAAGTTTTAATGAAACCTATTAATGATTATTGAATATGCAACATGTCGTGGGATTTCAGAGATTGAACTGACTACGAAGTTTTAACAGCTCTCTAATAGATTAAAACGGATGTAGGTGAAAATAATAAAATTACCATCACTATCAGACAGGAAATTCTAACTTCACTACGTAATGAAGAATTATGTTTTTACCACTCAATGTACAGTCCTTTGATTGCATTCACCATGATGAGAAAATTTCTCTTGATCTGCAAAAGGAAAACAAAGGATAAACTTAAAACTAAAGCAGCTCTGTCTGAAAGCAACGGAAATGAACCCAAAAGGCGAAAACCTTCACCGTTTCCACAAAACCGAACCCATTCTAACTTCACTATGTAATAAAGAATTATGTCTTTACCACGCAATGTACAGTCCTTTGATTGCAATCACCATGATGAGAAAATTTCTCTTAATCTGCAAAAGGAAAACAAAGGATAGACTTAAAACTAAAGCAGCTGTGTTTGAAAGCAATCAAAATGAACCCAAAAGGCGAAAACCTTCACCGTTTCCACAAAACCGAATCCATTTTTATCATTTAGACATTGTAGCAAAATGAGGACATATAATTTGTTTCAATCATCCACACAAAGTACCACATTGCTTACTCTTTACAGGCCAAGCCCTTCACAATGGTAGAAAAATGGACGAAAAAAAAAATCGACAAAGTTCAAGCTGTTTTGTGCCCAAAAGAAGCATCCAGTTCTGCAGAGTCGACAAAAGTTACACTGCAAAATATACTTTCACCATTCAATTCACTAGATGTTATGTTCAAATCATCAATTCAGGTGAAACAGAGAGTTCAAACCTCACAAAAAATCGAAAAAACAACAAAAATTCATAAAACCCGTTTAGGGCAAATCAGGTGCATCCTGGTATGAACGAACACAATCAAATCTCTTGTGGAAATTCCTAAAATCAAAAACCCCAAATTCAGTCATCTTCTTAAATATATAACCTAAGGACAATCGACGGAAGTTTGATCATAAAAAAAAATGAAAATTGGAAAAGGAAATACAACAAATACACGAAATTGAATAAAAAAATTGCATACCTCCGGCGAAAAGTTGAGCATTATACAGAGAGATCTAAGAGAGAGATACAATGTTTGTGGGAAATTGAGCTTCCATGGACGAAAGATTTGTCGATTGTTCAATTAATATATTATTCGCTAATATGTTTATACTAATATATATTTAATTTCTTGGTACAAGAAAAAATAGCAATTTACATTATATAATATTTAGTTATTATTTTATAATAAAATTTATCGTCATATAATGTTATTATTATTTTTTATATAAAATTATAGAAGAAGACTATTTCATCTTAATATTTTATGTAATGATAAATATTTAATGTACGTTAATATTATTTATTAATGCAATTTATTTTAATTTATCAATTGCAAAAACTAAATCCTTTCTATGATCAATAATTTTTTTTTTTTCTAATTTGCATCATTAAGGCTTTATAGTTTATTCAGCATATCATGCAATTGAAATATATATATTTTACACGAATTTCAGTATAAAAAGAAATCAAAATGAAAAGAATTTATCATGGTTGACATATAATATACAAATAAATCACATGTTGAAATTCTAAAGAATAGTTGAAATATTTCAATTTTATTATCTGACCATTAGTAAAACTATTTAATGTATCTGGTCATTATCTTTTAAATGATAATTAATTTATATTAATTTGAAGAATAATTTATATTATTTTTTTATATATGAATAAGCTAAGCACAATTTTTTGGGAGAAAAAAATATCTCCATTTCCTATATTATTTTCATCTGAAAAATGTACGTACAAAGGTGCGATTTATACTTGTGCCATGCAGACGTCATTCAGCCTAAGACGACGTCGTTTAGTTTCAGCAAAACGGCGTCGTTCTTACTAAAAGAAACGATGATAAAGAAAAGAAAACACGCAACATTAAAACACGACCAAAACAAATTAAAGGAACGGAAATAAAAGAAGAAAAAACTCCAGCATGCAGAATCAACTTCAAACTCCAATAATTATATAATGAAAAATTAAGAAAAAAATATATTGACAAAAGACTAATTCACCAACTTGATTTCACCTGATTAATTGGAAGAAAAAAAATTTATCTAACCTATTAAATTTCTAAGATATGAAAAATAAATATTGAACAAAAATAATGATATGGTTAGAAACAAGAATATACAAAAATAATAATATGGTTAGAAATAAGAATATGTTTTTATATTTATCTTGACCAAAATATTATCAACATGAATCACAAAATTTTAATTTTGTAGTTTATTATATGAATATCAGGAAATTATTGCAGATATCAATAAAGTTATTAAAGGAAAGAATCATTTTGATATTTAATCTGATTTCAAAACGTGTATATGTAATTAATTTTTTTTTCCAAAACGATAGATAATATTATAAATCAAAATGCACAAATGTGCGAATACACAGCAGCCAACGGCTGAATACACAGCAGCCAACAGCTGAAAAAGTGGGAGGACAGGTCCGAAGACCGCCTAGAATCCCGGCTAGCAAACACTAGAATAAAACTCTCTAAACTAACCAACGAGACCAACTAAAACAACTAAACCAACAAAACAACTAAAAGGACCGCAACACGGTAATACCCGAGTGTCGGATCCCAAGGGGATAATAAAGTATATGTAATTAATTAATGCATATATTTTAAAACTTTTCAAAATAGGCACGCATTAAATGTTCCAAGATTTTTAGCAACCACTTTTAGTAAATGTTT